ATATTTATTACTTAAAAGTCAATTTATCTTGTTATAATTTTTTTTTAAATTTATCATCTCTGTTCAATGTTCAAAAATATTTGAATTATGTTTTATCAAATTATTTTCTATTGTTTTACGTTATTTTTTAACATTGTGTAATCACAATATAAATAAATGATCTTTATTCAATAAATAGTTATGTAATTTTTTGTGTTTTAGGATAGATTATACATATATTTCTTTCAAGTCAAATATATGGTTATTACAAAATATCACTATAAAATGATTACAGTGATTATCATTATACTCTATGGTATGATCTAAAGTATGTATACTAAGTGATTAAGAAACTAAATAAAATCATCCAGTTAAACAATCATAAAATATTGTATTGAATTATATCTTCAATGTTGAACATACAGTTAAAAATGTTTAAAAAATAATTCAAACTTTGACTTTACAGTACCTAATACTCATTGAATAAGATTATTTGTAAGTTAGAGATAAAATATTTTGTTCTACCATATTACTAATGGATTTATGAGACTATGATCATTTCAATTCAACTCAAAATAAGGTACAATATTAGTATTTAGCTAGATCAGCTGATTATTTCTTTGAATAATTCATATAACATAGACTGCCTAGTGTAGCATTAAAAATATTTTAGTTGTATTCAGTGAGAGTTGCATAAATAGGATTTCACTTTCAGTGTATTTTCTTTACGCTGTGCTTAGTTCTTAAAGCTGAATTGCTTAACTACTCAAGAATATAATGATAAGATTGCCCCCAATACTTATGGAACAGGAATTAAAAACTACTCCAAATCGCAACACTACGGATTATTCATTATAAACGGATTATTGTTGAACAATCAGTTAGATGGAACTCATCATCATCATCATCATCAGAAATTTATACGATGGACTACACTGCGAATTCATGCACAGAGGAAAGCTGACATAAACATTTCAAGTGAAGACCAGACTCAGAGAAGGCTGTTTACCTTCTCCTTTCATCTTTCTTCTGATGATTGACTGGATTATGAGGACCTCGACATACAATGCAATGGACAGCTTGGATGCAACTAGACGATATGGACGTCACAGATGACCTGGCCTTTCTATCCCATGCACATTAACAGATGGAGGTCAAAACAAACAGTGTACCAGCAGCTTCTGCATCAGTAAGCCTCAATATACACAAAGGAAGAAGCAAGATCCTCAAATACAATACGGACAACACCAACCCAATCACACTTGGTAGAAAGACTCTGTTATAGGTGATATATTTCACATATCTCGATAGCATGATCGATGAACAAGGTGGATCAGATGTAGATGTAGAGGCACGGATTGACAAACCAAGAACAACAGCCTACAGTTAATGAGCATATGAAACTCAGAGCAACCGTCAATCAATATCTAAGTCAGAATCTTTAATACGAACGCCAAGAGAGTTATACTGTACGGAGCTGAAACTTGGAGAACTACCGCATCCATCATCAAAAATGTGTAGTTATTTATAAACAATTGTCTAAACACGATACCCAATATCTCTTGACCAGATACCGTCAGCAACAGCCTACCGTTGAGATAACATATCAAATTCTATCTGAAAAGGTAATTAGAAAAAGACACTGGAGGTGAATAGGACATACATTACGAAAATCATCAAACTTCTTCACGAAGCTAGCGCTAACTTGGAATCCTGAAGGGAAACGGAAAAGAGGAAGATCAAAAGACACATTTTGCCCGGAATTGGAAGCAGACATCAGGAAAATGAATAGTAGTTGGAAACAACTGGAAAGTTCGCCCAGGATAGAGTTGAATGAATAATGATAGTGGACAGCCTATGCTTCTCCCTTCGTGGTAACTGTTGTAAGTAAGTAAGCCTCAGTGGATATAAGTTTGTGATGAACAATCTCTCTACAATATATGGATTTATCACATAACTGCATAAGTACAAATGTAAAAGCTTTACCAATTTACTGCCTTTAATAATTCTGGAAGCAAACATTAATTAGACTTTGTACATCATTCAGACCCAACTCCTGTCTATATATATATCATTAATTATTGATATACGTTTTTCTGTTCAACTTTTCAGCTAAAAAGCGTTTTAGTATGACTATGGGATGATTCTAATTAGTTAGCAACACTTAGAAGAATATTTGTTTTAAAGGGTGACCGTTTTATTTTTATAAACTAGTAACTCTGGTCAGAAACATTTTAAAGTATACCGTTTATATTATATACTTACCTTACTTTTTTGGAAATCTATACTGAAATATACTCATAGACATTTGTACAATCATACTAGGTTACGTTTTATAAATCCTAGTATAAATCTGTTTCATACCAACATTAACACTTGTTGTACAAATAGTTTGTTGTTCTTCTCTTCTTCACATGTAAGAGAAATGTGGTTTTGACTTCTATTGAATTCTTTTAACAAGCGGTTTATGTCATCACCTTTATCCCCTATTATTATTATATCATCAACATATCGTTTGTACAATCCCATCTTTTGAATTGAGTTTTCAACTAAATTTTCCACATATCCCATGAACACATCAGCCAACAATGGTCCTAGAGGACTCCCCATAGCTACACCATCTATTTGTCGGAAGTGCTCACCTTCAAAAGTGAGTTTTACATTATCTGTACACAATAATAATAAATCTTTAAGAGTGCTAACAGGAAATGGAAGAGGAAGGTTATTCAAAGAAATATAGTCACACAAAATATCAACAGTTTTCCTGAGAGGTACATTTGTAAATAAAGTATTCACGTCGAAAGAGCACATTGTCTTTGTCTTTATATTTATGTTCTTTAAGCAATTAATCAATTCAAATGAGTCAGTCAACGAATACTTACAATATTGATTTTTTATATATAAATGCTCTTAACAAGTATATGTGTGATCAGATTGTTCGAAATGTATTGCGCTAATATATCACATAATTCTGATAAACTTCGTCTTCTCATTGCATTATCAAAATTTATCAAAGGGACTAACTGTTTTAAATAACTATGACTAACAAATGGTTTAACGAATGTCATTTATTCTATTACATAAACATGAATTAAACATAAAGTCTATTATCATACATATCATTTTCGTAATGATTTATCCCACAAGAAATTACTATAAATTGTACGATATGGTTTCCGTTCTGTTTAGAAAATACATAATAAACTCATATATTTTAGAGTTTTGTTCTCTGAGCTGGATGGTTTGGTTGTGGAGCTTTCATCGTTCTTCTGAACAACGTCATCAGCATAAACTTCAGATAGATGTAAAGCCTCCGAATTTCTCCATAAGTGTTTCACAGCTTGTCCTGTACACCTCGATGTTGGTTGGTTCTTGTTGACCTTAAATTTGTCATTGTTTACTTCTTTGTTTTGGTTGTGTCTCCTACTGGGAGGAATTTGGAAGCTTCTCTTCCATCTGAAGTTTGTGCCGATGATGTCGTTCAGAAGAAAGATGAAAGCTCCACGACCAAACCATCCAGCTCAGAGGACAAAACTCCATCAAAATCATCCACCTGAGCTACAAATGTTCTCCAACATCTCAAACTCATAGATCTATAATTAATTTTCACTTAATGAAAGTGAATTTCTACGTACAACTGCTTTACGTATTTATAGACTAAAAACTATGATCAATAGAGTACTAATGGTTGAGTTTGAGATGAGATTCCTTAAGATCAAATGTAAAATTGTGACTAGTCAGAACAAAGTAATCCTAAGAGTGAATTAGTCATCAATTTAGACGTTGAATGATCACTAGTTGCCTGAACTCAAAAATACCAGTTTATCAAATTCTAAATGTTGCAATCTAAAGGTATTGCCTTCATTGTAAAACGTCAAGATTATTCATTCTTTTGCATGTCTTCAGTATATATTACTTGATAGTTCTAACCTGCAAAGAAACAGCCTCCTAGTACTTTTTGACTCTCTGCAGATAATCTCGAACAATAACGAAAGTTTTCTTAAAATACGTTTGTAAGAATTTATAAATTTTGAAACATTTTTGAACTATGTTGGAGATCAATTAAAATTACAGGGTTAATAATAAGGGTATAAGAATTTACATCATAGGGTGAGCACAATCATTACATATACCTTTTTCCAGAATCCAGACCACCGATTTGTTCGGATATATATCATATCTATTAGTTAAAATAACTATAAAACGTTAAAACTGTACGACATAATATTACGAACTTGATATTTTAATGTTTTTCGTGTCCTATTTATTAAAATAACGTGAGTGACTATATTCTGCCAATAATCAAGCTATACATAAATAATGATTAATTACCGTGACAACCTTAACAGAAATATTTTACAAATTTTAACGTTGACTAGTAAATTTTCGTATTATAAAAATAGTTTTTTTTTTATTCTCTTTGTTTATTTCATCCAGAAAGTATCCAATATTATTCTATTTGTTTTATTGGTCAGATTGGTTTGTAAAAAAGCAAAAATATTTAAAATAAAATACTCGGTCAGGCATCATCGAGACTTGATCGATTATCTAATGATTCCCATATTTAATTCAATTCCCCCCCCCCTTTACATCAATTCATGTATATATGTCTGTCCTACTATTTTTTTGTTCAATATTGTTGTTCATTCAAAGTATTTCAATTATAATATCAGTTGATATAGTCTATTTTCTATTTGGATAAAATGCTTATTATAGTAGTAATGGACATTTTATTATGATTGGATAATTTTACAAGAAAAAAATTATTTTTTTTTGATTGGGGAATCGAAATAAGCTTGAACATTTTATAAAAGCCCATTAGATTAGAAAGTTGACAAGAGTAAAACAAACAGACAAACAAATAAATAACATTATAATCAAGTTTTCTCGAAAAAAAAAGAAAATAATTTATTCAATTGAAAGTCTACAGTTGGATTGTATCATTTAATAAATAAATAAATAAATTATTAAATCATTGAAATTTCATTTATCTAATTACATTAATTGAGGATAATATCATAATGTCTGAATATTATGAAGGTGAGAAATTTCAATTTTTATTTGTTTGTTTGTGTTTAAACTAAAAAAACTGAAATAAACGATAAGTTGTCAATGTATAAACTCTATCTGTTATTTTATATTCATTAGATAGATAGTGAATAAGATAGATTTTACCATAAATGAAAACTATTTCTCTTTATTAAAATGAATTTTTAAAACTATAAATATTAGTATGTTTTATCTTATTATAAACTACAACAGACTTGTTCGCAAATCAGTCATGTTTTCTAACAATTACTAGATAAACATTATCTTATCGTGTTACATACTCAGACACTTAAAAGAGCATACTGTAATGTCGGTTATTATGTTAAGCCCATATAACTTATCCTAGATTCTGGACAGACCAGTCTATCCATCCTTCTTCAGTCACGTTTTGACCTTGATAATTATTCACTTATCAACCTTGACTGTTTTTATATGAGCGTGTGTGAGTGTACTTTTATTCTATTCATCACATGTCCGTGGCTTATGTTTGTGTGACTATAAATATTGATTAACGCTTGATTAGATCAATTTGGCTCACCCGTCATCTCCGCCGCGCATCATCTCTCTTCGTTCATCTAATTGTCTGTCTAGATCAATGAGTGTACAAAATAAATGTATTCAAACATCCATTCTCGTATTTGACTTATTTAATTCCATTATACACTCATTTTTGAAACCAAAGCATATACACTTTCAATAAGTAATTTATATAATAGTGTATTCTACAGCCTACCCTTATCAGGTTATAAGAAACATTCCAGTTCGTAGTGACGTAGGCTTTTTGAAATATTGGTAGATTACAGACGCTGAAATAAATCTATTTTTCCGTTAGTTTTAATTTATCCAATATAGACATGAATTTCGAAAATAGGTTGTACTACAATTAAAAAAAGCAGATATATGTTTGTCTTTCTAAATAATTATTAACTTCATTTAATATAATTGTGTAAACTGTGAAATCTGTGGGTTGACATTGGCAGCAGCGGCCTGCTTGAATATCTGGGCTACCTATTTCTGCCATCTAATTATTTCAACAAGTTATCTGTTTTTCATTTTATTTTAACTTCTCATTATGTCCATTTATCGCATAACCTATACAGGCGCGTTTATGAAAGGTCTACGATCTTTCGCTGCACAAGTTACGAAAAAGTACAATAAACGACATCGTGGTGGTTGGCAATATGCGTTGAAGAGAATGGACATTAATTGTGTCACGATTCCCGAGCTGCTAAATTCTAACTGCCGATGACTAATCAACAAGGTGGACTATCTTCAATTCCTACTAAGTCAAAATATGTATCGTAATTGTGGTATCATCACAATTCAAGAATCTTGGTTGAAAGGTTTACAGGGCGACTGCCTAGTATCACTACGTGATTTCAAAATTTATTGTCGGGATCGATCATACAAGAAAAAGAGGTGTGGCGGCGGTGTAGCTACGTTTGTAAACGTGAACTGGTGTCGATCTACGTTTGCGTGTTTCAAGTTTTCAAATGAATATCGACTGTCTAACTCTGAGATGCCGTCCAAAACATCTGAATAAATACAAATATGTTTATGTTACCAATATCTACGTGACTACAGACTGCACATCATCTACGCTATCTGTTTTCGCTGATGAATTCACTGAGTTCGCTGTTACTGCCTTCAGTGATTCACTTTAAGTTGTATGTGGTGATTTCAATTCATGTGACTGTATCTTCCTTACGTCACGAGATCACCAAAATGTAGTAGATTTTCCTACTCGGTTGGATGCTCATTTATACTTCGCTTTCAATAATAATGTAGGTACATATGTGACTCGTAAACGTGCCCCATTGTCTAGCTCAGATCACTGTATAATTCGTGTTCTACATAAAGTATATGGAAAGCATGGGAAGAGTACACTCTTAAATCAAACCAAGAAAGTCAAATATAGGAATTACTCGAAAGAAAATATCCGAAATCTAAAAAATATGTTTCATACGACTAACTGGAAAGTATTTACAGATAACTCACTGGAAATCACTTCTGATGTTATCACTTGTTACCTTAAATTCTGTTTTGATATTTGTTGTCTCACTAAAATCATTTTTGTAAATTTTGATCGACTTACATCTTCACAAATAAAACGACTACGAAGGGTGAAATAAAGAATGCATAAGGAGAAAAACTCTAGTGAAGTTCGTAAGCTAAATGGTCTGATAAACCTCCAAGTATGTGGAAACTCTTTAAACAAATTACAGGTGACAGACACATTAAGAACGATAACCAGCTGAATATCTGTGACTTAAATAAGTTTTTTGTACGTCAGTCATTTGATGTAATGCTCCCTTTATGCACAGGTTTAAAGAATAGCTGTGTTCCTAGTTTCACTGAAACTGATGTTCGAAAGTGTTTCCAGTCACTTAATTCATCCCGATGTTTAGGACCTGATGGCATCCCAAACCTCCTTTTTAAAACGTGTACTGACGTCCTATGTTATCCATTCACGACTCTCTTTAACAGATCCTTCTCATCTAATCTCATACAGAAAATGTGAAGAAAGATGAAGATAATCCTTGTGCCCAAGAAAGTATCTGGTGATAAGAATGTGAAATTTAGACCTATTGCAATAACTTCACCCTTCCTCAAAACAATGGAAAAATTGTTAACACTTCGATAATACTGCGATAAAAGAGCAAATTGATCCGCATCAGTTTGCTTATAGATGAAAAAGAAGCGCCTTAGATGCCGTTGCTGTTCTGCATCACAATATAGTGTTCAACTTAGAAGAGGGTAAGAAGTAGTTTCGATGCGCTTTTCTGGACTACACCTCAGATTTTGATTCTATACCAAGACAACGTTTACTTAACAAGTTAATCAGCGTCAACACTGATAGCTGGATAACCAACTGGCTATGTTCTTACGTCTCTGGAAGGGAACAGTACACCGTGTTTGGAGGAAAGTGTTCAGAGTCTCTACTGTCTTATGAAGGTGTACCACAAGGAGCTGTTCTTTCACCTCTTCTTTTTTCTGCATGATCTGCCATTTTTCACTGTAAACACTTTTGTGAAATATGCGGATGACCTCACTGTATGTAAGCCTATCTCTTCCTCTTTACATCCCATAGAAATGAATGAATTTTTGTCTCGTATTGATTGTTGGTCTGTTGTTAATGGCCTCATACTTAATCCGTCTAAATGTCAAGCTGTTAACTTTAGCATGAGACGTGAACGTCATCTAGACACCATTTTGAGATCCCATGATGCTTGTGCCATTGGCGACTCATTGATAAACACAGTGTCGACGGTCAATTATCTCGGTGTTACCTTTTCCTCTGATCTCTCTTGGTCTTCTCACGTTTTATTGTTATCGAAGTTTTTCAGTCTGACTTACTACATAAAGAGATTGCATGCTCTTGGAATTACTCATCATTTACTCTTACAATTTGTCAATTCTTGCATATTACCTATTATTCTTTACTGTTCTCCATCATTCTTTCCCGGGCTTTTGAGAAAAGACTTTGCTGTATTGCGGAGAATGCTGAAGGCAGTTGGCGAGGTGTCTAGTAAATCTTTCGAGGACATAATTAATATGGTTGTGGATAGACATCTAAAGTCATGCAAACTTCCGGCAGGTGTTATTTTATCAGATACTAATCATCCCCTTCACTCATATCTTTCTCCTTGTATATCTTCTGGTAGAACGTGACGAAATTACATTAAAATTCAAGCACGCAAGCAAAAGTATAAAAGTTCTATAATACCGTACTTAGCAAATACACTCTGAGACAAACAAGTTGTTAGAGTTAACCTAGTCAATAACCTGCATTCTTAACATGCCTCTAATTTAGAAAGTTGTACAGTTTTTCGGTTTTTTTAAACCTTTTTTGCCTTTGGTCCGGTTTTTTTTATAAAAGAAACTTGTTGAAATATTTTATGCTGAGAATTCTATATTGTACCAAAATATAATATTGAATAAAGCCATTAATAATAATAATAATAATAATAATAATAATAATAGCAATAATAATAATAGTAATAATAACTTTTAGATACTGAACAATATATCAGGTTCCCTCAGGAAAAGAAATATTACTAGAACAAAGCTTGTAATCAAAAGAATAGGTCAGATAGATTTATGTTCAACCTATGAAAATAAGTTTATGTTTCATCATACATTTTTATTCGGTATTTTGTAAAGGATTGATTTAAATTTTCATAAAGACGATTTTCTTTAGTGACTCAAAGACATTAAGAACAACGATTTAAAGATAATAACATTTATTTTATTTTAGGGGCTCTTCAGTTGTGTGCACTTATGATATAGATCCCAAAATTTTAGTATCTAGCGATGTACAATTTACTTTCAGATTCCTGAGTTGAAGGAACAGTCGCCTAGTACTCTTTATTTTTTTAGTGGTTCTCCAAGCAAATTCTGTCTACGATGTCAATCATCATCGAAATTAAAATAATATCCATTGTCCACCCAACTTTTCATTTAATTTAACTCACTTGCTAACTGCTGACTCATCACTTTTGTTTTTATAATAATAACTGGATTTGTATAAAACTGGTCAATTTTAGAAGTTCAATAAATTAGAACTATAAAGGATATTCGGAATTTCTGAAAATAATATCTGGATAGTTATGGCAAAACACTAACAATCTCTTTTGTATTAGTCCTAATGAACATTTACTGATAATTTTAAGTTAAAATTGTAGAAATAACGATCATTATTTAAACGAATTCGAATAAAAACAACTGGATTACTCAGGTGATTTTAATTACAAACTGGTTACAACTAGAGAATCATTATAAATCAAGAAGTATTTAATAGATATTTAGTTTCAAACATTTTAGCAGCTCATATTGACAATATCTATATGAAATTGGACTTAGGAACTTCAGATTTGATACAATCCGACAGATGAGTGAACATCTAATAGTTCTTATTGCTAACTTTTGTTAGTTTGTGACTTGATGTTATCCCTATCCAATGATGCTCGGTGAGTCTCTGTCTCAGTATT